ATTCTTTACTTCTTTGAAAATTGCTCAGGTTACGAAATGCCAATATAGTTCCAATGATGCCGCTTACGAATTTATAAAATATAATGTGTTTCCTCTACAATTCAAGAAAAATCAATCGTCATATAAATATTTTAATTTTCGAATTTTGTATTTTTGAAATATCAATTATCGTAAATTGTCCCATATACGAGTGGAATCCTGTTCATGGAAACATGTTATAATGAAGTTTTAATCTAGAGGGTATTACACTCTAGGATAACACCCTCATTTTCTCTACAGTACTTGATAGAATACAGTTCACCTCTCCAACATCCGACAATTAGATTACATTGCTTGTCTAATGAGACATTCATAGGTTCTTTGATGCCATCTTCATTGACGAGCAGCTTCTTGAACTTTCCAGTCGAGCTGAGAAGATGAACTGTATTATTGGCGGAACTAGCTACAATAATGTTCCCAAACGGACCTACGCACAATCCCCTTGGAGTAAGATTTTGCGCGTCATATTTGAAGAGTATGTCGCCCTTCTGGGTATAACCGACAACGATGCTATCTTTGTAGTAGGAAATGACAGCTATCTTACTGGAGGTGATTGCCATCCAGGGCATTTTACCATCACTCTTTACAATACAAGTGGATTTTGTAGTATTTGTAGTGAGATCAACAAATAGTAACTTGTACGCTGGTTGACATCCCTGTAAGACTGCCAACTCTTGTGCTGGAGCTCCTGCTACACATTGCACTGGGGACTCCAAACAATCTACGGACCTAACTTTGATACCTTGATGGCTCATTATGCTTATGGTGCCAGGTTTTCGATCCACTGCTATGATTTCATTTCCTATGGATGTGAGCCGTACACATTCTATATCAATGTGCTTGTTCCCTGTGAGTATGTCGGCGTCTACTATCTTAATACCGTCCTTACCATGCGCTGTGACTAGATTTCCGTTTGCTAATATAGTCATGGATTCTAAACCAGGGGAAGTTTTACCTTGCATCTGTATCTTGCCACGTTCCTTGACATCACTCGAGTGTTCTGTAACACCACGATGGCAGAGATCCTTCTCTGGAGCCCTATTCTTGTTCAAATCTTCCAGTAAATTCATTATTTTGAAATTGGTAATCAAATTTTGGGCTCCACCTTCAGGCATGTCGAATGGTGTTTTGCATTCCGGACATGGACACTGCACCTTCCCACGTGTCTTCGCCCAATTATTCAAGCAGTCACAACAAATGGTGTGGCCACATCCAGGAATAAATTTAGGAAGCTTTAGTTGTTCAAGGCAAATCGAGCATTCGAGGTAATCCCTCACGACATTTTCCACTCCATGATTTGCCATACTGCAACGCCTTGTCACTCTTGTGCAACAAGTTATCACATACTGAAATCATAATTCATTTTTAATTGGTGCAACCCAAATTGTTATATGAACGATTTCAGGCGTTTTTTAACTAAAACTGTGTAAATGAAGTCCAAACATGGCAATATACAATGTACCTCTTTTAGTAGGAAGAAAAAACACCACCCGGTAATATGACCCACCAAAACATATTTCACATGGAAATGACTTTATACTGGCAGCATCATCGTCACTTGTATGAAAGTAACGAATTGTACACTTCTTGCACAGTAAACAAACTAAAGGATATAAATGATACGAATTCATTCAATGTGGCATATGTTATTTTGTGTGATCTGTAAATCTGGAGATACCGTGATCTTTTGAAAGATGGTTAGAGGTTTTAACATGTTGTGTAGCATGTAGTCAGATTCATTAAGCTTTCTCATTTGATTTAAGTTATCAATTCAATGTGTGCAATAACAATATTTCATTCCATTAACAAAGGTAATTTTGACAATATTTTGCCACAGACTTTTGTTATTCCCTTTTCTCAGTAATGGCCCATTATGGAATGTAAATCATTACAACATTTGTTGATTATGGTCAATTTAAATTTCTTTTCATTTTCTGATTAAACTCAAACTATTTCGTATCATCATAAACATGCAGTGCTCCATAGCATACAGTTTGGCAATTCTTTGCCTCGGCTGTTTAATTGCAGTTGAATCTAAAGGGAGGAAACCCAGTGGTGGAGGTGGCCAGGGTACTGGACAAGTCATTAAAGATGAATTTGGGAACCTTGAAGAAGCAATGCAACTCCTGATCGGAAAACTGAAAACAGATCTGAAAGAAGATTCCGCAAGTATAAGAGATGAGGTGTCAAATCTGAGGGATGACGTGTCCAATCTAAGAGATGGTGTGTCTAATCTGGGAGACGAGTTGTTAAATCTGAGAATGGGTGAATCCGATGTTCGTGATAATCTGGTGGAACTGAAGGAATCGATGGTAGACATGAAGAAACAGTTGAGTGAAATATCAATTCATGACAACACCGATAAAGATATCGATGACAATGACGACACTAAGACTAATGTACCACTGTTTGACTCAAAAGGTGAGATTACAATATTAACCTTATAAAAATCTAATGCCCTAACTACATTTATTCTACAGCATCCGTATGGCGGCCATAGCTTCCCAAAACCGAGAGAAATATGCAGCATAAAATATAGAAATGAGCAGTACGGTGTTTATATATCGATTTGGTGAAGCTACGGCCGCCGTACGCCCACCGTAGAGAAAATGTGGCCGAGGCTTAAGAAAGTAATTCATCAATCAGAATTAAAAGTAATTCGACAACCGTTGTATGTTTGATTATTATGTATTTGCAGTTTGTAACACATCATCCAAAATGTTTCAAGAAATTAAAGATCAGCTGAAAGGCTTCCAATATGATGAGTTAACTACTGAACGTTGTATGAATATTTCCGCCAATTCTGAAGGTAAGAATATTTAGTGCAACATGCGTTAATCTATCTGCGGTGGCCGTGGGGTCTAAAACATCTACGGCCAATATAGGATGATCTGCAGCGTTCCATAACAATAAAGGCATCTGCACATGACATAATTTCTCATTAACACATTCCAAGATCTAATTTGTAATTATTTTATAGTATTCATATATTTGCAGTTTGTAACAAATCATCAAGGATGTTTGAAGCAATTCAAGAACAACTAAAAAGTTTTCGACACCCTGAAACCACGAAGAATAAAAGTGCAAATGGTATTTTTATTATTTTTCCTTAAATTGTCTTCCTTTAATATAAAATCAGTGTAAAACGTATGAAGAATACTTCAAAATGATAATTGTGATTTTATTAATAAAATATTACATGAAAGAATTGAATATAAAATTTGAACTGAGGAGGCATAAAAGTCAAGCAAACTTAACAGATCTCAAACGTTCATATTTTTAATATTTTGTTATCTTACAGGAAAATGCAACGAGTCTATATCGGGAACAGAAACATTGAAGGAAGATCTTGAAATGATGATTCAGGAACAAATGAAGAAACTAGTAGAGACGTGCCAGACAGGAACAGATGACCAAACACATACAGGTACAGCACATATAAACAAGTTAAAAATAGACCAATATAGAGATTGAAAATGATTGGAGCGAAATTTGCATTGAACACACTTGAAATAAGATGAAGTCAGAACTGTTGTACTTTACTTTCTTAGAATATAGGAATGAAGAGAATTATTGTTAGTCATTGAATTTGTTTAATTGTGCTAACTTTGTTATTTATGTGCTTATGCTTTTTTAATTAATTATCAACCAATTAATACTTTCATATTACCAAAAAGGTCCTTGTCATAGTTCAAACAAATCAGCAGATGGTGTAACTTGGTGTAGATCTTATCATCTTATTATGTCACCACCAAAAGTGTGTGTTCGGCGGTTGGATTTTGGCGGTCGGCGTCTGTAACAAACGGTCGGTGGTGATATATGCTTGTTAATGCCTTGTACTTGACATTATTCACTTACTAGAATAGTATACTAAATGCTTTGCTATTTATGTTTCCAGAACTGCCTAACAATGTCACATCTCCTGTAGCAGAAGATTGCAGTGGGCAATCGGATGGAGTCCATGTAATAACCACCAGGACTGGTAAACGGTTTCTTGCAAGCTGTGAAGATGATTGGCTCATACTTGCACACCGCTTCGATGGAAGTATCGAGTTCAACCTTGAATGGGCTTCATACAGACAGGGTTTCGGCAATATTTTAAGAGAACACTTTATAGGAATGGACAATATTGTGGCTGTGTTACAACAGAAGAGGTACGAGGCAAGGTTTGACCTGACAACATGGGAGAATGAGACACGATACGCTGAATATAGAACATTTGACATTAATGATGAAAAGGACAAATACCGGTTGAATATTGATAGCTATAGTGGCACAGCGGGTGATTCAATGAAACATGCCAATCATGACCAATTCTCCACAAAGGATTCTGATAACGATGGTTACAGTAGTGCTAATTGCGCTTTGGCTCATCATGGGCCTTATTGGTATGGAAGTGGTTGTAGTGGTGCACATGGCTCTGTTTTTGGTAAATACATAAAAGGTTCCAAATGCACAAGTGGCAATAGTTGTATAACTTGGTATTATTGGCCCGAGGTACTCCCTGGAGTAACTGCCAATTATTATTATTCTTTCAAAGAGATAAAGCTCAAAATCCGACCAATTTAAATGAAGTTTTCAGAAAGACAAATTGACAACGTCCAGTTTCAAATATTGATTTAAAATATTGCAAAACACAAGACTTGTCGTTAGGGTGTTTGATTTTTGAAGAATGTTCTCAGATCACAACGGCTCTTTACGTGAGGTTACAAATGGTGCTGGTAGTTCACTGATTTTTTTCAACAAAATGGTATAACGTTTAAACTGGTCAATCGGCCATTGAGGGCAACGCCCACTTTTCAATGAAAAACATTGTTTCGCACTTCTTTGCTAATCATTTGCCAGGAATTGTTGCAACCAATTTTCCTGTTATAAGCATTTGGATATACATCAAAACACTCTCAATTGATGCAAACTAGACTGTTTTAGCAGTTAAACGTTATCCAATTTTGTTGAAAAAAACAGTGAACTACCAGCACAATATGTAAGGACATTCTTGAAAAATGAAACACCCTACTGGTCGTGTAATAATATGGTACGCGTAATCCTCAAGTCACACCCGACTAGTTCTCAAAACGTCCCACCCGTCCTTAAATCATGAAACGGTGTCCAATGTTAGACGTCTAGAAATGTGTTACCCAGCATTTATTTTGTATCATCATTTCATTTTGAACTATTTGTGAATCAACATTTTAGACTATTTGCAAAATGAATTTGTAAATTAGTTCATACGCAGTAAAGATTAAGCCCTTTGGTCATAGAACTTAGTGAGAACAAGTTTGGTGTGGCCTGAACTTTATGCTAGTTGTGCTGTATATATATCCTTAAACATACTATACATATTTAGATGAGTTGACCATAAAAAGGCAATCAAATCGTCAGCCGACAGTCGAATTATTCAACTTTGAATTATTCAACTTCCAGTGGCAGACAGCTGACAGTTTAATCTACTATCTTATGGTAAACTCATCTAGATATGAATAGTACTTGTCACTATATTCATGTGCATATGCCGCAATCTAAGTGTATGTACAAGTGATCTGACGTTTATGAAGTAAATAAAAAAAGAAAATTGTAGAATCAATGAATGGACAAAGGGAAAATAAAGTTAAAGAATAAGATCTACACTTTATCACCCCCACACCTTTAACACTAGTTATATTTTCAGAGGCATTCAAACTTTTTGGTGGTCTAAAATTTGAATTTAGAAGTTATTGTAATCAAATGATTCTTTCGTGGTATGACATCAAATTGTTAGAATGCATTGTAGCAAAAGAAAGCATGTCAGAAATGCTTATTCATCATCATGTTTGGGTGAATGATACTGGTCACCAAATCGACGACTGACTTTGCAATTCACTCAATCATAAATTATTGGATCACGTATCGACGCCCATTCCTAGCCTGTCCTGAAGGATACTTGTACGAAGTTTGGTAACAATAGTGAGAATGCTATTGTTCATTTCTGATTTTTCAATTCGGGTGTGCGTCAACAAAACCTAGCATGGCATTAACATGACAAGTTACCACCTGGTTGCAATTTAAAAAAAAATTGGATCAAAAATCAATGGGAAATAGGTCATATTTTTGATATTTCGAAGGTGATTGAAGGTCAATCCAAAGTCAAATCTGAAATCCAAATTTAGAATTTGAAATCAGCCTAGACAGTACTTGATTAGTTGTAAGAATTTGTTACAGACGCCGATCGCTAATCGCCGAATGCCGAACACCAACCGCCGAACACCGCCCACGATAAAGTAAGAAGCCAAAACTAGAAAAAAACAGAGAGCAATATTATATAACAGGGTGGTCCAAAAAAAATGGGACACTCATATTTCAAAAATAAATATTGATTTTCTTGATGAAAACATATCATACTATATACCAATGGATAGGGAATTTACTCATCTTTAATTTGGCATATCATAAGTTCAAATTTATTATAATTTCTGTCAACCAGCGTCCATAATATGAATGACGTCATTTTCGTTTCAAAACAGGTTTTCCGAAACTTGCAAAAACCAAATTTTATTGTCAACTTTATTTACATAAACAGATGTCCACCATTTTGATCAATTGTAGCCCTTAATTTTGGCCTAAACTGGTCAATAGCATCATTGATATGCTGTTGAGACAATGAATTTCACTTCACTGCTTCTCAATAATTCTGTCCTTCAGGAACTGAATAGATGTAAAGGATTTATGGTACACTAATTCTGTTAGTTCTCCCCATACATGGTTGTTGCTTTGCAGATGTTGGGTAATCGGGTGATCTGGGGAGGCAGTGATTAAGGAGGATGAATCTAGGCACATTTTATTTTAACCATTTGACACTCTTGTGGGATCTATTGATTGGAGCCCCATCTTGTTGGAAAATGTAATGATTCGAAAATAGGCTCATATCAGGCGGGTTCAAAAACAGCATAATTGGGTCATCTGATATCAACGTCTGCGACAATCACATATTGGGAGAACTAACAGAATTGGTTTATCATGAACCCTTTACATCTACTCAGTCCCTAATTAAGGATAGAATTGTTGAGAAGTGAAATTCATTGTCTCAACAGCATATCAATGATGCTATTGACAAGTTTAGGCCAAAATTAAGGGCTACATTTGATCAAGATGGTGGGCATATTGAATATATGTTTATGTAAATAAAATTGACAAAAAACTTGGTTTTTGCAAGTTTTGGAGAACCCGTTTTAAAATGAATATGACATCATTTATATTATGGACGCTGGTTGATAGACATTATAATAAATTTGAACTTATGACATACCAACTTAATGATAAGTAAATTCCCAATCCACTGGTATATAATATGACATGTTTTTATCAAGAAAATCAATATTTATTTTTGAAATACGAGTGTCCCATTTTTTGGACCACCCTGTATAAAAAATACGAGTTCTCATATAGATGTCACCAGTTTGAAATATCCGATAAAATATCCAAAGGTTTACTTTACAAGTACATTTACATTAACACATTTTATAGGAGTTTTACTTATAATTTAAATAAAAATTGATTGTTATATCTAGGAGCAAATGTATTTTCTTGGTCACCGCGAATGGCATGATTTCCTCGAGTCTCTTCAGTCTACAATGCAACTCTACGAGGACAAATTAGTGTAGTTCCACTACTGCCCTTGTACAGTGCCTTGCTTATGTGGAGGAAATGAAGATACTAAACTGAACCACGCGCTTGCAAACGTGCCTTCCGAGACATCAGAAAATTGAGAAAGATTCCATTAGATAAAATTACGTTTCTGGCTCAAATAATGAAGTGTAACGAAACATTGGCATATACAGGGTGATTTATTTGGTTTTTGCGTTCGGTTAGCGACACAGGTTTAACTGTACAACATCTCCGACTTCCAAGGAGTTGTAAAAGAGCAAGTGAAACCTTGTGAATCAAGATGCTGTACAATGTGTCCATGAAGTCTCTTTATAATTTCAATACAAAGTCTATGTAAAGTGTATATACGAGTGGAATCCTGTTCATAGAAACATGTTATAATGAAGTTTTAATCTAGAGGGTATTACACTCTAGGATAACACCCTCATTTTCTCTACAGTACTTGATAGAATACAGTTCACCTCTCCAACATCCGACAATTAGATTACATTGCGTGTCCAAGGCGACATTCATAGGTTCTTTGATGCCATCTTCATTGACGAGCAGCTTCTTGAACTTCCCAGTTGAGCTGAGAAGATGAACTGTATTATTGGCTGAACTAGATACAATAATGTTCCCAAGCGGATCTACGCTAAATCCCCTTGGAGTAAGATTTTGTGCGTCATACTTGAAGAGTATGTCGCCCTTCTTGGTATAACCGACAACGATGCTATCTTTGAAATATGAAATGACAGCTATCTTACTAGAGGTGATTGCCATCCAGGGCATTTTACCATCACTCCTCACATTATACGTGGCCTTTGTAGTGTTCGTAGTGAGATCGATGAATAGTAACTTGTATGCTGGTTGACATCCCTGTAAGACTGCCAACTCATGTGCTGGAGCTGCTGCTACACATTGTGCCTCCACACAATCTACGGACCCTACTTTGATACCTTGATGGCTCAGTATACTAATGGTGCCAGGTTTTCGATCCACTGCTATGATTTCATTTCCAATGGATGTGAGCCGTACACATTCTATGTCAATGTGCTTGTTCACTGTGAGTGTGTCGGTGTCTACTATCTTAATACCGTCCTTACCATGCGCTGTGACTAGATTTCCGTTTGCTAATTAAGACAGTCATGGATTCCAAGCAGGGGAAGTGTTACCTTGTTTCTGTATCTTGGCACATTCCTTGACATCACTCGAGTTTTCTGTATCACCACGATGACAGGGATCCTTCTCTGGTGCATTATTCTTGTTTAAAGCTTCCAGTAAATGCATTATTTTAAAATTGGTCTTCAAATTTTGGGCTCCACCTTCAGGCATGTCGAATGGTGTTCTGCACTCTGGACATGGACATTGCACCTTTCCCCGGGTCTTCGCCCAAGTATTCAAGCAGTCACAACAAATGGTGTGGCCACATCCTGGGATCAACTTAGGAAGCTTCAGTTGTTCAACACAAATCGAGCATTCAAGGTGATCCCTCACGACATTTTCCACTCCATCATTTGCCATACTGCAACGGCGCCTCGTCACTCTTATGCATCAAGTTATCACAAACTGAAATCATAAATCATTTTTCATTGGTGCAACCCAAATATTATGTTACTTAAATTGTTATATGAACAATTCCAGCCGTTTTTAAACTAAAATTGTGTAAATGAGAAAAAACACCCGGTCATATGACCCACCAAAACATATTTCACATGGAAATGACTTTATACTGGCAGCATCATCGTCACTTGTATGAAAGTAACGAATTGTACACCTCGTGCACAGTAAACAAAGTAAAGGATATAAATGATACGAATTCATACAATGTGGCATATGTTATTTTGTGTGATCTGTAAATCTGGAGATACCGTGATCTTTTGAAAGATGTTAAAGGTTTTAACATGTTGGTTAGCATGTAGTCAGATTCATTAAGCTTTCTCATTTGATTTAAGTTATCAATTCAATGTGTGCAATAACAATATTTCATTCCATTAACAAAAGGTAATTTTGACAATATTTTGCCACAGACTTTTGTTATTCCTTTTTCTCAGTAATGGCCAATTACGATATGTAAATCATTAAAACATTTGGTGATTATGGTCAATTTAGATTTCCTCATTTTCTGATTAAACTCACACTATTTCGTATCATCATAAACATGCAGTGCTCCATAGCATACAGTTTGGCAATTCTTTGCCTCGGCTGTTTAATTGCAGTTGAATCTAAAGGGAAGAAACCCAGTGGGGGAGGTGGCCAGGGTACTGGACAAGTCATTAAAGATGAATTTGGGAACCTTGAAGAAGCAATGCAACTCCTGATCGAAAAACTGAAAACAGATCTGAAAGATGATTCTGCAAGTATAAGAGACGAGGTGTCAAATCTGAGGGATGACGTGTCCAATCTAAGAGATGGCGAATCTGATAATATTGCTAGTATTAGAGAAGAGTTGTCAAATCTAAGACTGGGTGAATCCGATGTTCGTGATAATCTGGTGGAACTGAAGGAATCGATGGTAGACATGAAGAAACAGTTGAGTGAAATATCAATTCATGGCAACACCGAGAAAGATGACACTGACGACACTAAGACTAATGTACCACTGTTTGACTCAGAAGGTGAGATAACAATGTTAACCTTATAAACATGTAATGCCCCAGTTACATTTATTCTACAGCATCCGTATGGCGGCCATAGCTTCCCAAAACCGAGAGAAATATGCAGCATAAAATATAGAAATGAGCAGTACGGTGTTTATATATCGATTTGGTGAAGCTACGGCTGCCGTACGCCCACCGTAGAGCAAATGTGACCGAGGCTTAGGAAAGAAATTCATCGATCAGAATTAAAAGTAATTCGACAACCGTTGTATGTTTGATTATTTTGTATTTGCAGTTTGTAACACATCATCCAAAATGTTTCAAGAAATTAAAGATCAGCTGAAAGGCTTCCAACGTAATGAGTTAACCACTGAACGTCATATCAATGTTTCCACCAATTCTGAAGGTAAGAATATTTAGTGCAACATGCGTTAATCTATCTGCGGTGGCCGTGGGGTCTAAAACATCTACGGCCAATATAGGATGATCTGCAGCGTTCTATAACAATAAAAGCATCTGCACATGACATATTTTCTCATTGGTACATTCCAATATCTAATTTGTTATTATTTTATAGTATTCATATATTTGCAGTTTGTAACAAATCATCAAGGATGTTTGAAGCAATTCAAGAACAACTAAAAAGTTTTCGACACCCTGAAACCACGAAGAATAAAATTGCAAATGGTATTTTCCCTTAAATTGTCTTCCTTTAATATGAAATCAGTGTAAAACGTATGAAGAATACTTCAAAATGATAATTGTGATTTTATTAATAAAATATTACATGAAAGAATTGAATATAAAATTTGAACTGAGAAGGCATAAAAGTCAAGCAAACTTAACAGATCTCAAACGTTCATATTTTTAATATTTTGTTATCTTACAGGAAAATGCAACGAGTCTATATCGGGAACAGAAACATTGAAGGAAGATCTTGAAATGATGATTCAGGAACAAATGAAGAAACTAGTAGAGACGTGCCAGACAGGAAGAGATGACCAAACACATACAGGTACGGCACATGTAAAGATTTTAAAATACCAATACAGAGATTGAAAATGAAGGGAGTGAAATTTCCATTGAACACACTTGAAATAAGATAAAGTCAGAACTGTTGTATTGGACTTTCCTAGGATATAGGTATGAAGCGAAATATCGTTAGTCATTGAATTTGTTTAATTGTGCTAACTTTGTTATTTATGTGCTTATGCCTTTTTAATTAATCATCAACCAATTAATACTTTCATAATTACCAAAAAGGTCCTTGTCATAGTTCAAACAAATCAGCAGATGGTGTAACTTGGTGTAGATCTTATCATCTTATTATGTCACCACCAAAAGTCTCAAAACTTTTCGTGGACGGTGTTTGGCGGTTGGCTTTTGGCGGTCGGCGTCTGTAACAAACGGTCGGTGGTGATATATGCTTGTTAATGCCTTGTACTTGGCATTATTCACTTACTAGAATAGTATACTAAATGCTTTGCTATTTATGTTTCCAGAACTGCCTAACAATGTCACATCTCCTGTAGCAGAAGATTGCAGTGGGCAATCGGATGGAGTCCATGTAATAACCACCAGGACTGGTAAACGGTTTCTTGCAAGCTGTGAAGATGATTGGCTCATACTTGCACACCGCTTCGATGGAAGTATCGAGTTCAACCTTGAATGGGCTTCATACAGACAGGGTTTCGGCAATATTTTAAGAGAACACTTTATAGGAATGGACAATATTGTAGCTGTGTTACAACAGAAGAGATACAAGGCAAGGTTTGACCTGACAACATGGGAGAATGAGACACGATACGCTGAATATATAACATTTGACATTAATGATGAAAAGGACAAATACCGGTTGAATATTGATGGCTATAGTGGCACAGCAGGTGATTCAATGAAACATGCCAATCATGATCAATTCTCAACCAAGGATTCTGATAACGATGTTGACAGTAGACATTGCGCTGTGTTTTTTCAAGGGCCTTATTGGTATGGAAGTGGTTGTAACGGCGTCTATGGTTCTGTCTTTGGCAAATACATAAAAGGTCCAAAATGTGCAAATTCACTTGGTTGTATAGCTTGGTATTATTGGCCTGAGAAACTCCCTGGCGTTGCTGGCAATCAATATTATTCTTTCAAAGAGATAAAGCTCAAAATCCGACCAATTTAAATGACGTTTTCAGAAAGACAATTTGACAACGTCCAGTTTCTCATATTGATTAAAATTTTGCAAAACACAAGATCGGTCGTGTAATTAGATGGTACACGTAATCCCAAAGTCACACCCGACTAAATCTCAAAACGTCCAACCCCGTCCTAAAAGTCATAAAACTGTGTCAAATGTTAGACATCTAGAAATGTGTTACCAATTATTTATTTTGTATCATCATTTCATTTTGAAGTATTTGGGCAGCAACATTTGCACAACGCTTTAAAGAACGCCGATCAAGTTCGTAAAAGACCGTAAACGTTGTTATTAGTTCATACGCAGTAAAAGCCCTTTGGTCAAAAGAATGTAGTGAGAACAATTCTGGTGTGGCCTCAACTTTATACTAATTTCCCTACATCGTTTTAGCTTTTGTCTTTCTTGAAAACGGACTTTTGTCATATACTAACACTTGGCCATAAAATTGCAATCAAACCGTCAGCCGACAGTCAAATTATTTAACTTCGAATTATTCAACTTCCAGTGGCAGACGGCTGACAGTTTAATCTACTATCTTATGGTAAACTCATTTAGATATGAATAGTACTTGTCATTATTCCATTCATGTGCATATGCCGCAATCTAAGTGTATGTACATGTGATCTGACGTTTATGTAGTAAATAAAAAAAGAAAATTGTAGAATCGATGAATGTACAAAGGGAAAATAAAGTAAAAGAACAAGATCTACACTTTATCACTCTCACACCTTTTACATTAGTTATATTTTCAGAAGCATTCAAACTTTTCGGTGGTCTAAAATTTGAATTTAGAAGTTATTGTAATCAAATGGTTCTTTCGTGGTATGACATCAAATTGTTAGCATGCGGTGTAGCAAAAGAAAGCATGTCATAAATGTTTATTCATCATCATGTTTGGGTGAATGATACTTTCTGTCTTTTTAATTCAGTTTTAAATTCTTGAAAGAGTTAAGATTGAATGCTAGTTGTATATTACCTGGGATATTATGTCCCAGCCCACACTCTTGACTTGTCTATTTCTGATTTTTCAATTGGGCTGAGCTACTCCTTGAAACTTTCAAAATTAGCCTCACAACACGATCTTCATGCTACCTTTGGGGACCCATGCATCTCCAACTCATAGTTATGAAAAATGCGTTTAAATGTGATGTTTTCTTTGACATGTCTCGTCACACTGGTGATCCACATGATTATGCTGGTTACCGAAACGGTTCGTTTCGGTACCAAAATGTCGGAACATCGAAGGTACGATTTTTCTTTTTTCCTTATTTCACGTGTTAAGGCAGAATCTTCACGACGTTTTTTCTCACAAACGCATATTAGTATCATATGTTTTAGAAAATGTACATGTTTGCGAACAAATACATCAGAAGACAACAGAATCGTCGATTCCTCACTTAACTGTTTTTCGAAAAACCGTTTCTGTAACTTAAAGTGTGCGCCAAAATTTAAAACTGCGCAGGCGCAGCGCTCTCGCTAACCTATATAACGATTACAAGGTACAGGCTTCAGAGGTAAGCCAGGAAGGTGTACAACTATCGTCCCGTGTTGATTTCCCGTATAATCGTAACTAGGCAAGTTTCACCATTGGAATTGAAAATGACTATTAGATATACTTTGTAGATGTTTATATATGAAGGGATAAGTGTATGCATCAATCAAATGGCTCATTTTGAACATATAAAAAGTATTTGTGTTTTGTTTCCCAGGGAATTGTATTCCCATGTAGTACACACATAAATAGTGTACATTATGTTGTACTTGAATATCCTAGCTTATATAATATTGAAGGGCATGCTGATATTTTATACTTGGATTGACAGTCTGAGGAACTTGTGAAATTTCGCTCATAGAAGAAGTTTGCCAAACAACTCTACAGAACTTGGCGAATATCTTATACTTGGATTAGCAGTCTGTCATGTAATTGTCTAATTGTATTGTTGGGCTGGCAAGCCACACTTATTTTGTATTACGTCATTCTGGACGGTGATCGGGGCTTACGCCATATTGAAATAAACTGGACAAAGTCAGCCAATATATCTCTTAGTGTTATTCGAAATAAAACGTAACAGAACATGGTGTCAGATGTGGGATACGATCTTACGAGGATATAAAACCACAGAGAATAAGTAGGACATGTAAAAATTGTCTGAAAGTGACCAGATTAGAGGTATTTTTGGTGTTGAACTTTGATTGCCGGTGAAATTTTGTGCAAATTTCGAGCATGACATTTTGCGCACGACACGGATTACATCATTGCTGATATGTGCACACGACACGGATTACGCCATTGCTTCGCGGAGATATGCAAATGACATGGATTGCGTCATTGCTGCTGTACTACAGTAAGAATTTGAGTCCAACTGATATTTAAACTTGTGAACTGTACTTCTACTCTTGTGTATTAACTATCGTGATTATATTGTCATCTTTGGATTATTATAATGGCCAAGATACAGCCTCCAAACCCTTTTAACTTTGATAAACCCAATGAGTGGATTGCTTGGAGAGAAAGGTTCCTGAGGTTTAGGCTAGCTACAAAACTTAACAAAGAGGATGATATTACACAAGTCAGTCAACTTATATATATTATGGGCCAATCCGCAGAGGACATATACAAACAGTTTACGTTTGAGCCCTTACCAGTTGCTGAAGATGGCCAAATACTTGATCCGCCAGACAACAGGTACAATTTTGATGCCGTTTTGGGCAAATTTGATAACTATTTTGTGCCAAAGATAAACATTATTCATGAACGAAGGGTCTTCAACCTTAGACAACTGGGAGAGTCAGAAACAATGGAGGAATATATCCGAGATTTGTATAAACTGAGTCAACATTGTTCATTCGTTGACAGAAACGAAATGATTCGCGATAAGATCATCGTTTCCATCAAAGACAGAGACTTGTCAGAGCGAGTCCAGACACTTGCCATGACGTGTGATCTCACCCTAGAGAAAACTATTGAACTAGTTCGTAGTCATGAACTTATAATATCACAGTCTCAAGCTGAAGGGAGACCTACTGATACAAGTAACGTTGATTTTGTTCGTAAGCGACCCCCGCAACAGAGAGCTACACGACAAAACTACAGAAAACAAGACCAGGCACAACACAAAGCAGACAAACACAAGTGTGACAGATGTGGCTACATTCACAGAAATGATAAATGCCCTGCTAAAGGAAAAACCTGTCATAATTGCAAGAAATTAAATCATTTCTCAAGTGTGTGTAAATCAAATAAGAAATCTGTTGATAAAAGAGTTGTACATGAATGTTATGATGAATGTGCTGATGCCGATCTTGACACTACTGAGTTTCATGTAGGTGAGCTTGTGCATTTGGTTGATTCTGCCAAGTCACTGATTGTAGATAGGCACACAGAGCCACCATGGCGTGTGACCTTACCCATTTGTGGTAAATTGATGAGTTTCAAGATCGACACAGGCGCTGATGTAAATGTTATGAGTAACAATGCATATGAATGCCTTACACCAAAACCTAGGTTACAAAGGCATGATGGTCCTCCACTGAAGTCAGTAGGTGGGGTAATAGATACAAGAGGTTATTTTATAACAAATAGCAATCTTGATGGTACCAAATTCTCAATGAGAATATTTGTATTAAATGGGCCAAAGTGTGATAACTTATTATGTCGCAGATCTGCTAAAATGTTGAATCTAGTTACTAAAAATGTACATGTTGTAACTCAGACCTCTCAGAGCGAGGCAGGTAAAAATGGTTCTGAATCTGGTAACCATAGAAATAAAATTCCAATGCCCCCTAGTAACAATACTTCTGAAATGCCAGGTCATGTAAAAGACCCCATAAATGATAATGAATTGTATGGGGAAGTGGGTACAATGAAATGTGAGCCTGTCAAAATTGAGTTGAAGCAAGATGCTGAACCATATGCTGTTGTGGTACCTAGGCGCGTTCCATTTCCTATAATGAAACCATTACAAGAAAAACTCGAATCAATGGAATCCAATGGCATTATTGCCAAGATAACTGAGCCTACTGAGTGGTGTTCACCCATGGTCCCGGTAGTTTCAAAATCAGGAAAAATTCGCGTGACGGTTGACTTTAGAAAACTTAATAAATCCGTTAAGCGCGAGAGATTTGTCTTACCAACCATTGACTGTATATTACAGAAACTTTCGGGAAGTTCTGTCTTTTCAACCCTCGACGCCACAGGAGGTTTTCATCAAGTGCCACTTAGCGAGGTAAGTCAGCGTTTAACAACGTTTATAACACCCTTCGGTCGTTATGTATACAAGAAGATGCCACAAGGCATATCGCTTGCTCCAGAAATCTTTCAAAGAGAAATGTCGCGCATTTTGCAAAATTGCCCTGGAGTAGCAGTATTCATGGATGATATTATCGTTCATGGTAAGAATGTTGAAGATCATGATAAAAATCTCAAACAAGTCTTACAGAAAATCAAACAGTCCGGTCTAGTTCTCAACAAGGCGAAGTGTCATTACCGGAAGCCTGAGCTCGTGTTTTTAGGGCATAAAATTAGCGCTAATGGAGTCTCGCCAGACCCAGCCAAAGTCGCCGCGATAGTGGAAATGGAAATTCCTGAAAATGTTGAAGAATTACGACGATTCTTAGGCATGATAAATTGGATAGGTAGGTTTATACCAAACTTATCTACAATGCTTCACCCATTGAATGAACTTTTGAGAAAAGACACAATTTGGACATGGGGAAAAGCACAAATGGATGCCTTTGAAACAGTGAAACAGAAGGTAAGTAGTAAGCCTGTTCTAAAATACTACGACATCAATAAGCCATCGCGTGTTAGTGCTGACAGTAGCTGTTACGGGTTAGGCGGTGTCTTAGAGCAACAGCATGGAACAGATTGGTTTCCTGTTCATTACTGTTCTCGTTCATTAACTGATGCCGAACGCCGCTATGCTCAAATTGAAAAGGAACTTTTGGCAGGGGTGTGGTCAATGGAAAAATTCAGTCAGTATTTG